GGCGGGGGCGGGGGGTTTCCAACGTAGGGATATGCACAGGGCACAACGAATTTTCTTACAGTTGTGAGAGACATACAACAGTGCTTGGGTATTCTTGAATGACATGCTTGCCATGCACATTATTTTTTTTTTTTCTTTTTCTTTTTTTCTAAGTGAGAGATGCCTGTATGCCGAACGTGTAGAAAGACGCGATGAGTTGTTCTCTTGTGGGTTTTTGAACAGGCTCCAAACGATCGAGCAAACCTATCACCCGCGCTGGAGGGCTATTGTGAATGTCGCCAACGATATCAGAAAGGAATGAAAAGCGTAGGAGCGACATTATCGATGGTGAAACGGTCCAGGCGACCACTCATCGTGATATTTTTCCGGTGACCTTCAAATTGAAGGGTGAGGATTTGTTTTTTTTAGCGGGTGTCGGGATGAGCGTGTGGTGTTTTACCCAGGGTTGCTGAAGCCCGGCGGATCGTGGTGCCTGGACGCGGAATCCATGCAGGCGAGGGGGAGGAAGACCAGTGACCATAAATTTATCAAAGGGTGCGTGCGCACGGGTGTTGTACGAGGATGGCATGGCGAAGTTGAATTTCCCGGCAGCAGGACTCGCGAACTTGTGCCCAGAGGGTGGCGTAAGATTCGGTGCCCCAAGCACACTTATGCGTATGACTTTGCCGCGGACGGCGTCACCTCCGTGTGCTCTCAGACCTCCACAGCGGCAGTGCACTCCACTGGACCAGAAGTCTTTTTGACTATACCAGCGTGGAGTTGGCGATGGCATTGCGGCTGGTGGTGGGCCTTCTCATCTTGCACTTTTTTGCTGTGGCGATGGTGCCTTTTTGAACAGCAGCTGCGGCAGTGGATTGGCGTAAAAGGACTTTTGAGAGGGCAATAACAGGAGGACACAGCTCGTCTCACTGAAGCCCCGAGCTCAACGTGTGCAATATAAGAGGAGCTTGCATTTTTTTGGGAGCTTGTGAATAGAATAATGGCGGGAGATTTGGCTGCCTTAATTAATATATATATCCTGGTAGAAAGAATACATTTCTTTATCATACGTTTCTACCATATGATTTTTTGGCAAAAAAAAAAAAAAAAAGACTTTAAGGGCATCAGGGAACAGACAGAGGCAAAATAAATTTTTATTTTTATTTTGCCACCCACCCACCCCCTGTTGATCCCCACCTCGCGGCGGGGTCTTGGGGTTGGAGGAGCCCAAAGTCTGCCACTTCGTAAGTAATAAATATTTCATACACTCACTGAGCGCAAAGGCCACGTGAGCGGTCAACAGAATACATATATATATATATATAAATATTATCGGAGGAAAACACTGAGGCAATTAACTGCCTCTTCGATACTTCCCTTTTTCTCCCTGTCTTGTTTGGTTTTTGTAAATAATTTCAGGATCCAACCGGCGGCCCAGAAGATTATTCTGTTTGGTACGCCTTCACTATCAGTGAGGGGATGCCCTCATGTGCCCTCTGAGCTCCTATCTGAACTGGACAAGAACGAATTGATAACTCCTTTATATATATATATATATATATATATATATATATTATTTGTTTTTGCACAGAGCCATATACGTATGTATATAGTTGAACGCCGTACTTACTGTACCTGCTCTTGTTGTTATTAAAAGTAAAAATTGCGGCTTTTGGGAAGCTCATTCATGTTTCTTATACGCTTGACCTGTATTTGTCATGTTGCCAGTCTGTAATTTGGGATAGAAAGTTTTTTTTTTTTTTGTTCTTGTTGATTTTGGATGATGTATCTGCCGTCATTTCTTTTCTTTTTCTTTTTTTTTTTTTTTCTTTTTTTTTTATCCACTTGCCTCTTTAAATATTGACATGCTGGCGTTTTGACATGAGCTTCAGTAAGAATTACACGGTTTGGCCTTCACTTTTTTTTTCCCTCCTTCTGTGTGTGCGTGTGTCTGCATTGAAACTGCGGGAATGACAAACGAGTATTACGAGGCACGGCGGAGTTCCATTACACTTCCTCTTCCCGGGACGAAGTTTCGCCCAAGTGTGGTGGTGGGTGTAATTGAGGAGGTGTGTCGCTCCCTTGTGGGGGACCGACCGTATGTGTACGATGAGATTCAGGTGCTAATCAAAGAAATCTGTAGCGAGATACAGCAACGTGTCGTGCGTCTCGGGTACGAGCGGTACAAATTTGTGACGCATGTCACCATCACTGAGGCCGCACATCAGGGAATGCGGATTGCTTCTCGAGGGCTGTGGGATCCTGTGACGGACGGTTATGCGGCGTACACGCATTCAACGGAGTCCATGCATGTCAACGTTGTTCTCTACGCGCTTTATTGGGAATGAGATGTGATGCCACTCTCTCTGAGGGACCGACTCTGCCGCGTTGGACTTTTTTCCTTTTTCTCTTTTTTTTTTAATGCTTCTTTCTCTGTGCACGAGAAGGTGGATTTGAGTCTGTGTGTGTGTGTGTTGCTTTCTGCATTAGATGGTGGAAGAGGTTATTCAAAATGACAATGGAGGGCGGGCGACGCAGGGGAACGTGATGTTCCTATTCTTTGGATGTGAAGGGACTTATTGATGTAAAAAAAAAAAAAAAAAAAAAAAAAAAAAAAAAAAAAATTGTTGTGGCAGCAGAAGAGAGGGCAGCTGATGAGCTCTGATGGGTGACGTTTTATAGAAGTGCGGCGCCTGGAATTGTCGTCTTATTTTCTTTCCGTACTCTTCATTTTTTTGTTTTTTTTGTTGTTGTTGTTTTACACACACGCTTTTAACGTGAACCCGAACACACACACACACACACAAACAAACAAAAAAGAAAAAGGTGACACAAGCACCCCCACCATGTCGAAGAAGCAGGAAGTGAAGTTTTACGGCTCCAGCGCCGCGAAGGACGAGCTGGTTTACGGCGTTGTGCACATCTATGCGTCCTTCAATGACACATTTGTTCATGTGACGGATATGTCTGGTCGCGAAACCTTCTGCAAGATTACTGGTGGCATGAAGGTGAAGGCGGATCGTGATGAAAGCTCGCCCTACGCTGCCATGATGGCTGCACAGGACGTTGTGGCGCGCTGCAAGGAGTGTGGCATCAACGCGCTGCACGTCAAGATGCGTGCTACTGGCGGTGTGGGCACGAGGAGCCCCGGCCCCGGCGCTCAAGCTGCCCTTCGTGCTTTGGCGCGTGCTGGCATGAAGATTGGCCGCATCGAGGACGTGACCCCTATTCCGACCGACTCTACCCGCCGCAAGGGTTCTCGCCGTGGTCGTCGTCTGTAGGGA